TGAACATTAAGCACCTTCCCTTTTTGCTCTGGGCCGTTGAAATAAATTTGGACCAGGTGCTCCTCTCATAACAGAAGTCCTTGATGTGCCCTGATAGCGAGCGGGAGAGCGGAAGCTGTCAGCTTTCAGCTGGCTTGAAGAATGCAATTAGAGCAGTTTTAATACTGTTGAGGGACCCCATCCAGTCAAAGTTGTTTGAGTTAAGCCAAGTCTAGGATCCTAAACGTGTACTTTAGGCATGCCAGCTTTGTCTTTTTAGTCAGAGCAGATCTGTCATTCCCACACGTTATGTGAGGGTGGATTCTTTTTGTTGGGCTGTTGGGGGGGTTTTTTATACTAGGAGAAATACTCCCATTTCTTACTAGCTCACTGTTATTTTATCTGTTAGCTTTGTCTTTATGGCATTGTTAATACTCGTGGTTCAAAGCATTTATTGTCAAATTAAGGCTTAAAACACATTTTTAAATGTCAAAAGTGCCTATGTCTTTGCATAAACCCTAGATTAGGTAAATTCATAAGTGGTTCATCACTAGGTTTTCCAGATTTGGCTGGTAAAAGAAAGGGTAACATCAGTACAGATCAGAACACATGAAGTCTGTAGAAAAGAGTCCTAGAAAACAGGCAGTGCTGTAGTGAGGTACTGTTTTTACTGAAGTCTCAGCTTGAGTTAATTTCCGTACTGGGTGTGATTCATTGACACAGAAAGCAAAGGGATGGAAAACTTGCAGGCTCATCCTTTTCTTTTTTTTTTTTCCCCTTCTTTGTTTAATTAGAATTTTCAAGTTGGCTTGTTGCTTCTTCCATTGCTCACTGTTAGAGTTGACTTCACGGGAATAGGTTTTTTCCTGAGGGATAGTCCTCAGCTGGATGTTTCATTTATTTCCCTGCTTTTCCTTTGTTGCTCAAGTGGATCAGTTGTTTTAAGCCTTGCTAGGTTGCAAAGTAGAATACAAAAGTGTAAACAAATATAGTGAAACTTTTGTTTTTGTAAGCTCTGTTAGGTTGGGTTTTTTCCCATTGGTTGACTTTTGGAGCAAGGCAGACAAGATGGTCTTTTGAATAGTCTGAGTTTCAAGGTCTACCTAAAAGAAGAATAAAAGTAAGTTACCTGCTCTGATACCTCCTCTGTTTTCAGATGAGGGTGGGAAAGGCAGCAGAAAGCCAACTACAAAGTAGTTTGTGAGGGATTTGATAGACCAAATTGTGTTTTGCTATTTCTTTGGTTAAATCAATAGCATTAGTGGCTTAAAAATATAGGATTGTCTTATTATGAGTTATGATTGTTAGTATGAAAACTTTTTAATTGTGTTCAGAAATTACATAAAGACATTTCCAAGGCTTGATTCATTGTCATGATGAGTTGGAAAGGGAAGTTTTTTGTGATTTCTGCATAACTGTCACCCATCTCAGGAATTTTTACAAATGTATATGTGTGTGTGTATGTAGATTAGAAAAAAGCCAAACTTACTGCCTACCTCTTAAAAAGCTGAAAGGGGAAACTACATACTGGCTATCTTACATTGGTAAGATAGAAGATAGATTGTCAGGAGATCCTGGACAAATCCTCAAATAAAAGGGAGAGTAACAATGAACTTGGCTGTTTGTTCTTGCCTAGTGTCTGCTGCTTTTTCACAAGGAGCATCTCTTGTTTCTTCCTTGTCTTTCCTGTGCTAAGCCTTTTCACACAGCTTCTTAAGAGACTGTTGTGGTATAGACAAATGTACTGTAAGGGGAATGCCAAACCAGGAAGGAATTGGCTCCAAGCAGATGGTGATGGGCAGAGTAGGTTATGGAGAGCTTGGTTCTGGATCAAATGCTCATTTTGTGATTTTGTTTTAAATGGAGCATGAGGTATGAGTTAGTAAAAGGAGCAAATCAATAAACTCCTCTCTACCATTAGTTTCTTCTGCTGGTGACTAATTCCTGACCCTTTCCAGTGATGCCGGGCCTCTTTGCCCTTCAGTATGAAATAGAAAGGAGAGTCTGTGTTTTACTGCTGTTAGTGCTGCTGGGAAGGCATGAGCTCAAATGGTTGTCCAGGTTTGGATCAACAAAAGTAGTGGGCCAGCTGAGCTTAGTCCCAGCTCCCAGAAGAGCAGCCAGCAGACGTAATGCTTTGTAAGAGTCAGCGAGGAATTTGTGTCCTTTTGTTCCCTCCAAATGCACATTTGGACAAAGAGGGACCAGCTGAACTTGCAGGAAGAAGTATTTGGGTGGGATGAAAATAGTTTGAGAGTATCTCTGTTCCTGGAGGTTATTCAAGCAACTACAAGGAATGATAAAGCTGATCCTTTTGGCAGTGAGTGGACTCGTTATTCACCTGAGGTCCTGTCTCATCTTTTGGCTGGTTGTAACCAAGTTTGCCATTGGGATGAAGCTTTCAGAGAAGTGATATTCCTGTTAAATTTTCTGGAGTGACTCAGGTGATGGAAAGGTTATGCAGTGACTTGCAGTGGCCTTATTTTGTCATCAGGTGTCATGGAGAGGTAGGGAGTGCTCTTAAGTACAGGGCCTAATGCTGTATTAAATATCAAAGAATCTGCTTCTCTCCATACTGATCCTCTAGTGTTCATTCTTATTTTCATCTCATTCAAAATTTCTTCTGACAGCACAGATGAGTTTGTGAGCCCCAGCAGAGCTCCTGAAGCATGGCTTCTTGGCTTTTCATTGCTGAGAGCCTGTCCTTTGCAAGAACTATGTGTCAGGCAGTACCACAGGGTTGTCTTGAAACCAATACTGTGGCCTAGCTTGGGCAAGAATAAAGGTGCAGTCAATAGCTCATTTTTAATTCTTCTGGATAAGGCTTTGTTTGGCACAGTGCCTAACAGGGGGCTGTAGTAGCTGTGAATTGTTGAAGCCAGCACACTGCCCACAGGCACAGTGCCTAGATTGAAAAAGTGTTATCAGTCTCACATTTTAAGAAAAAAGAAGTACGTCATAAAAGTTCATAAAATCTGTCTAAAGCACTTAAATTTTAAAGTGTAGGAGTCAGATTTTTCTTTAAAGATTAATATAATTTAAACAAATATTAAAGATTTGGATGAATTTTAGACAAGGATTATATTAAATCTGTTTCATTTCTGTGGAAGGAAAAAAATTACTGCATTTGATTTTACTTTCTTCACTCGATTAATTACTGAGTATTTTAAATATGCAAGAGCTATGTCCCATCTTAAATTACAATTATTTGCTTTCCTGATGGATTGAGGATGGTGAAGGTAATCATTCTACTGCAAATTTAAAGCTGGTTATGCTCATAAATTATTTTCCTTCTCTGTTGCAGATCTGTCCTTACAACCTGTGTGCCGTTCGAGCATATTTTTGTCATCACTTGCAAACACTTTAATCACCCCTAAGTCCTGTCACTGTGCATTAGAATATTTGCAGTGCAGGAGGACACAAAAAATGGAAAATAATTGCAGGGGAAAATATTTGGAAGCTGCAGAGTAGTAAAATGGCTTTGATATGTCAAGTTATCAGTTCTTCCACACTGCAAAGCAAATACACTATTGGAGCTCTACAGAGAAATACATTCAGATCGTGTTGTAACCCTTTCTCAGCAGGAATTGTGCAGCAGAACAGTGGCTGCCAAACTGCTGCTTGTTTGATGCAGAGATGGGACGCTTTCCTGAGCAGCAGAAAGTAGGAGGGTGTCAGGAGGCAGCCCTCTGTGCCTTTTAGCAAGTTAAGGTGGGAAAGGAAAGTCTCTGCCTTGCTGAATGTGATATATGGCTAAGGGCAGTTGTTTGCCTGCTATCAGTCAGGAGATGATGAATGCTGGTACAGGGCTTTACTCTCCTGTCTGACATGCATGCCCCCATGTGAAATGGTTGACTGTCCTCTCTAATCCCTGTGCTGAACTTGACAGCAGTTAATACAGACTAAGCAGGAGCTATATTTTATGGAGGCTATGGGGAATAGCTTTACATTACATTTAACATTGGCTTTTCTACAGTAGCAGGAAACCAGACTGTGCCTCACGCTTTGTGCACAACAGTGCTCAGTAATTCTGTGTTCCTGCTGTTGTGGAGCTTGACTTGAGCATCTGCAGAAGTTACAAGCATGAATGATTTAGCATTTGCAGGGCAAAGCCCTTCTCCTTACCACTCCTGTGAGCTGTATCTCTGAAACGGTATTATCTAATGTATTGGCCTTCTCCACGTGCATGTCCACACAATGTTTGAACTATAAGTTTAGTTTTAGGATACCTCTACAAAAACTAGAAATTATTGAAACACTAAGGACAAAATCCTCCATCTGTATTTTCCGAGGCTTCAGATTTTCATTATGTACTTTGTTCAGCTCCCTGTGCCACAGAAATGCTTGTCCTCATGTCTAAAATACTCTTTGCAATCCTGTTACTTTCTTAGGTTGTCCTGAAAACATGGGGTTTATAAAGGTAATTTGCCTATGTAAGAATGCCTCCTGCATGTGCAGATAGATGTGTGTATCTACATATCTTGTCTGTACTTGTGTGTGTGTGTATATATATATATATACACACAAATGTAGTATATGTGCCAATTTTTTACCTAGTCAAGAGATAGTATGAAATTCTGTGTTTTATATATACCTGTACATATGGGACACTGAGACACAGAATACATGCAGGGTAAGATATAAGATTATGATTGTGTGAAATCACACTATAAGCCTTTCTGAACTCTGTCTGGATACCACAAAAGGGATTTATCAGTTAGCAAAATAAAATTGTATTCATCCTTTTTAAGCTGTCAAAATAAAAAAATCAGAAGATCTGGCATGTATTCTTAACAATGGTGAACCAGTAAGAGAATTAAATTAGATGAATAACAATAAAGAGATAATAAAAGTAAGATCAGTACAAGTTTAAGAAATAAAGCCCTTAATCCAGCAGCAGTAACTTTTAGCAGACTTAAACTAGACAATTGTGAGGCAAAATTTAATCGGAGGAAATGCAGTTCCATGAGAAAAAACTGCTTAAGTGTTAATCTTACGAAAATAAAGATGTATGGTCATTAGGCTTCATAATCTACAGGTTGAGGGTTTGGGGTTTTTTTTCTTTCATGGGGTCTACTCTATGGTGAGTGTCTTTAGTTTTAACTTCAGGAAAGATATTAAAGAAGTCTTTCTAATTTTGGATTGATGGTACATCTTTGTACGCAGTATTGCTGTGATTACCAGCCTCAGGGGTTGTACATGCATGTGTATTTATGAAGACACAGTCCATCAGTCATACTGACCCTGGAAGACCAATGTGGTTTTCAAAACACTGGGGAGTGTGTATGGTTTTGTAGCTGACTGCAAATACTAATTTTATGGTAGGAAAAGTTTCTACTGCATAATGTATAAGTGGTTCAGTGTGGCTCATTAGAGTCCGTCAAGCACTTCCATTTAGAGAGTTTCAATCTTCTTTTCTTCACTCCCTGAAAAGAGCAAGGGAAAGCTTTTGTAATGTACCTTTACCATGTATCTTGCATGAGCATTTGGAACTCGGCTCTAGTGGATGAGAGCTGAACTTTTTTGGTTGAAAATGCTTCTTAGGACTGAAAGTGAAGCAACATAACTCTGAGGTAGGCAACACAGCTTGAGAGTTCCAGGAGAGAAGAAGTAGGAAAGGTGGTGGTAGTAGAGATCTGACTGGGAAAGACATCCTGATACTTGCAAGCAAAGTCCCATAGTGAGGTTAAAGACTTGTAGGTTATTTTGTGTGTAAAATGCCAGGGATCCAAACCAAGGCAACACTGAGCAGGACCAGTTAAAACAATGAAGCCTGAAGTTGGATAAGACTTTTCCTAACGTTTTCCTTTTTACCCAGCATCTCAAATTGGTAAGGAAGCTGTTAGCAAGAAAAGGAGATATTTTTTTATTTGCTTTCTTGACATATTTCATGCTAGAGGAGAATTAACAATACTATCAGTAAACAGGGCAGAATCAGATGGAATTGTAATAAGTGGTAGTTTAGAGGATGCCTCTAAAATATTTGATAGCTGAGATGGGTCAAGGACTTCCTAGGAAATGTTTATTTCTCTTGGTGTCTCTTTTTAGCATTTCAAGAGGAAATCGGGTAATGATGTCAAATATTTCTGCAGGAAGGTACCAGAACGTCAGTCAGTGCCTGGCAGTACCCTGTTTAAAAGACCAGAATGTTTCAAGGTAAACTTCAAGCTAGAATAAGCACAAAATACTAGAATAAATCTATAGAGTAGGCAATGTTCAGCGAGGTGATAGTGAGATATTGGCACTGTTTATGTTAAGGAGATCTGTGGTGTTGAAAGATCACTCAAAAAGTTTAGCACATCCATCACAACTTTTGTGAAATCAATTTAAAAACTAGAGTGCAGAGAAGTACATTATTCGTAACAAAGTTTACTCCAGTCATCAGAAGATAGATAGACATTAATTAAAGATATGCTCCTTTGTTAGATGTTATAAAATATCTCAACTTTTGAGTCTTCAAACTCCAAAGGTATTTCAAAATACCAGGAAACAGCAGGCTTGCCAAGATGCATTGAAGTGATAAAGACACTTGAAAGAAATTCAGAAGGAAAGATAACCTTCAAGGCAATAAAAAGCATGCACATTGGTGTAACTCCAAAAATAGATTGTATAGAGATAAATACGTATAAGGTCTTTTACAAACCTGTGTGAACGTGTGCTTTTGTGGGAAAGCATTACTGTGGGATCTGGAAGTGAATACTCCATATTGGTGTGAAATATGATTTGCCCTTTGTGAGAAATTATGGTAAACATACTAGCAAAAAAAGAAATTAAAAGAGGAAAAGCACGGTCATAACTTGTGTGGTATTCAGTGGTAGCTGTTATTTGGGGAGAAAGTTTTAAAGTTTTTAATAGTGAAGCCTTCACTAAAAAGATGGATACTTGGTGTCACAACATTGTATTTTAAAAACATTTGTTTACATATTAATTTGAAAAATACTGAGAGGATAAATATGTTATTAGGTGCTTGGGTTTTCTTCTATCCAGTGAATACAGCATCCTGCTAAAACAGAAACCTCCTGCTGAACACTTAATTGTTACTTCACTGCATCATGTCTCTTTTAAACAAAAATAAGCTATGGTAGCCTTTTTTGGTTGTTGTTTTGATAATTAAGAAGTAATAATGTGTATACCAGCTATATATTGCTTTAGATTAACTGGAGTCTTCTGTGGTTTCATCCATTCCCTTTGACCTCCTTAGGAAGAAAGATAGAATGGTGGATGTGGACAGAAGGTTTCTACTTCTTTAAAGAACGTGTATTTATTCAGGTGAAATTGTAAGACTGCTTAGAATTTGGTGTTAAATTGTGTTTGGGTGTGTGTGGTGTTAATTGGTTTTGGATTTTGTGGCTAGTTAGCACTCAAACCATTGGATTGGCAACCTAAACCTATGGTTCTGCTTGGCAGTACTGCTGAAAAAAACTCTTGTCCTTTTATGCAATCATCTTTTACCCTTAAAATACAGTTTCAAAGCTGTGACACTGCTTTGAAGTTTCCTGTTCATATATTGTCACAGAGTAAGCTGCCAAGCTGTTTGACAGGCTGTGGGATGCAGGACTCGGGGTGGGGGCGCTGCTTTTTCTCTAGACTCAATTTTGCACCTCAAATGAGGATTCTTTTCCTGATACTTTGGGGCACTTCACAGAGAGCAATTCATAGTCGGCATAAAATTTCAACACAGGCTATTTAAAATGCTGCTTTTGTTCTTGCCTGTTAACTCTCACAATTGAAACCCTAAGGAATATTTGAAAAGCGTTGGTCACAATTTTACAGGTAATAGGATCATAAATAAACATCTATATGCAGATAAGGGCTTAACAGAAATCCATCCTTTGAAGGGAAAGCCTATTCTGCAGCTTTAAATTGCTGGATTTATCTCAATAACATGCAAAGTACTACAAAATATATGTGCACAATACCCTCCAAACAATTAGAAACATCTATCCTATTGTGGTGGATTTAAGATTGGAAAGGTAAGGTTAGATTGATTTTGTGGGGAATCTTGAGAATATACTTGGAGTGGGGTTTTCTTTATTCCCATAGGCTGGTAAGTACCTGCAATTCCCATTGAATTTCCTTAGAAATTCCCTAGAATTCCCTAGAAGAATCACTCTAATCAAAATATGGCTTGACTTACACACACCTCTCCAAAAAAGATAAAATTAAGGCTTTGCTTAAGTTTTGAGTCTAGTGTTGTTCAGTCACATTAACATGTAGGTGAGCGTAAACTTAATGTACACACATGAACAGGTAGTTAGCAAAAAATGTTAATACTTTAAACTGTATACTGACTACAAAAAAAAAAGAAAAAGCTAATGGGCTTCATCTGAACTCACTGGAGAAGGATGACTAGTGGCAGAAATAAATATACCTTGCTGCTTTTTTTTTTTTTTCTTTTTGGTCAAGTTTTGCATGGAGAAAGTTGGTAACGTGTGGCTTAACTCAGCTCTGACAAAATGAGCACGATGATTATTGATGCCCTACTTAACCAAAATATGGATCCAAAATTAATTTGAAAAGCATCAATGTGGCAGTTATTTTATGCAGAAGAAAATAATTGTTCTTTAAGAAAACAAACAAGCAAAAAAGTAAAAACAAACAAACAAAAAAACACCAAAACCAATTTCATTAAGGAAGAGTAGGTCAAGGTAGCTATGCTTGACAGTCTAGTTAATGCCTAAAAAGAAGGGCCAGAGGGTTTTTTTTTCTGTATAAGAGCCTCAGAAAGATCATAAAAACCTAGAGAAGGTAGAAGATGGATGGGAGATCTTGCTCTTTTTCTGTGTTGCATTTTACTTTAAAATACTTTTTATTGCTGCTGAGAAATGTCTGTTAATGATTTTTTTTTCCTTTTCCTGACAAAATCACCATATTAAAAACTGAATTTTGATAGTGATAGTGCGCTTATTTATGAACTGTCCTAGAGAACAACAATGTTTTCAAAAACATGCGAATGGAATTTCAAGGCCACACTTATGTTGTGTGCTATTTCTTACTTAATGTTTGGTGTTTTGTATCTCAGCAATGCTTGATGGTGTGAATGCTGGGGTAATGTAACAGCCATGCAGAAGAAGGTGCTCGTTTACTGAAAATAAATCAAATGCAGGTTTAACAAGTGCCACTGAGGGAAAATGATGAAAATTGTGATCAGAATTTGTAGGGAGCTAACTTAGGCAGCTGTAAAATCTGGTTTTGGTTGTTAACACACAAATAACAGCAGTAATCTGTGGCTCTGATTTTCACTGAGTATTTAGAAACTGCTTGCATAGCTGAGATTCTAGATGTATTTTCCTTTGTTCAAAAAATGGTTATTATTTTTAGACAGACAGTGTAAAATTAGATTTATAAATTGTACTGGGAGGAGGTTCTTTGTTTTCCTGCTAGCTGATAGATGAGCAAAAGGTATACTTTTTTAATATATAGCCAGCCATCCAGCCAGAAATAAATGCACTTTTAAGTATGTACACCACACACAATTAATTGTTTGAGTTTTTCTTGGCAGTATTTGGTAAAGATATTTTTGATATTTTTAATTCTCTGCATGTGCTTGTTCTGTGCTTTTGTGTGATTTTGTACACCACCCAAACTTAATCTTATTATTATTTAAAGTATGACTCTCTTTCTACTTGTAGTGTAATTCCACTTCTACTTGTGCTGTCCTGAGAGGAGGGATTTTATAAATTCTGTTTGCTTCAAAGCCAAAAATTTAGCAGTGCTTGTAGCCTTTTATACATGAATGTTGCCAAATTAACCTCCATGTTTTTCTTGTTCCCATTACCAGAGGTGATGGTCAGGGAGTCACATGTGGGGACCTTAGTGTATACATCACATTATTTTAATGCTATTTACAACTGCAATGATTATTAAGTTCTCTGTAATTGTAGCCTAATTTTTTTTTTGTTGCAATTTCACACATTTGTGAAATACTACAGCAACTTCTTGTGTAATATGTCTGAACCAATTATAATTTCTCTCTATATTAGATGAATAATGTTCAAGCCTGTAATTTGTTGTAATCTTAAGTACTCCTAATATTTTTCTATAACAGATTTACTTGAGATATTACTTTTTTGTTTAATGATGCAAGTACAAAATAAATTCTTGCAGGTTTCTTCTTTTGTGCTGCAACTGCACCTGAGCCTTGCAAAATACTACTTTTATTCTCTCAGTTTGGCTCTCTCTTGACCAGTGACTGCCAAATAGTTCAAATTCCTCATCTGTGTGTGTGAACATCTTGTAACTGCTCCTAGCTTTCTGCACTTCGTCCTAGAAGGAAAATCCCTCCCTTCCTGCCCTCTCCTGGCTGCTGTCAGTACATGGATAACTGTAATACTTGAAATACCAAGCAAATCCATCCCCTGTTACAGGCTGGAGTGATGGGAGCTGGGATGTTCTTTCAAGGTGTCTCATGCTCTTCCTTAAGAGCTGATCTGTGTTGTAGGAGGCAAAAGTAGGAGGGGCTCTCTGAATGGGCCTTACATGAATCCTGGGAGCATCCACCTCACAACTATAGTTAATTTACAGCTATTCTAAGTCTGTGGATAATGATATATCTGCAGTAGGGCCGGGTGTGGAACCCCATGTTACTGTAGTACCTCATTAAAAGTTTCTTAGGTACCCTTTGTAGCTTTCTAGTGTGCAGCAGTACAGCAGGAGGAAGGGGAAGCATTAAACATGTCTATGCTTGTGATTTAGGGCAAGTTTTGCCCAAAATAAACAAGGCATGCTTGTCTTCAGATAATTCTACTACTCACAAGAGGCAGCATATCCTCTCTTTGTTGAGCATCTCTTTTAGTTGTATGATGCTATTTTCAACTGAACTCCGTGGGCTGACTGCCTGGAATCTCTCTTATTATGCTTTGAAGGGAAATTAGACCTGGAATCTGAGAAAATATCTCTTAATATTTCATAATGTATGTTTCACTGTTGTGCTTCTAGGTATTTAGCAAACAAAACATTGTTTTTGCCTTTCATAGTAAAACTTAGTAATGCTTACTGATTCTCTCTGTGAGTTCTAAATTTGGGCAGAGTGGGCAAAATCTAATTGTTGGCAGGGTTTTTAGTTGTTTCAGTAAACCCCATAATGACTGTTTGCTTATTGACTGTATTGCTGAGAAACTCCCAATTAAGAGTTGTTCTTGCAGTCCTTCAAAATTAAGCTGCCACTACTTCTGAAGTATCTCTAGTGCCTTATGATTTGCAGTGCTAGCAATTCCTTATGAAGGTTTTGCAAAATATAAAAAATTGTCTTTCATTATGAAATGAAAATTTCAGTTATGCCAAACAACATTGGTAGCTAATTAATGCTTTACTAAATTGATGGTAATACTTGGAAGTTAATATCTTCCCAAGTTTACATTGTGATGAATGACTATTTTTGAGATACACATGGTAGCTAAATGTCAATTCCTGTTGATTTTACTTAGCTTTGAAATTTAATTACTGTTGTGCTCTTGAAAATATCCATAATGAACACTCCCATTCTGTACATGCTTTGCAAAGGAATGTATTGTAGCACTTATACACAGTATGGTAATCCCATGTATAAGAATGGACTATGTTTAATACCAATGTAATAATTTCTTTTCAAATTCAGCGACTTTATTTGGGATTATTTTGCCATTGTTAATACTAGTATTGTAATGATTGCCAAATGGTCCACATTTTTAATACTACTGAAAGAGGAAAGTCCACTTTATATAAAAGCATATTTTTCTGGAGATAACAAACAAATCTTTCTAGGATTACCTGCCATATAAATTTTTAAGGGTATTGCAGAGTTGTGATAAATTCAAGGTGTCTGTATTTGCATACCTTTTTAGTAAGTTAGAGACTTCTCTGTGGGAGGAATACAACTGCTGTGTTTGTTCAGCAGTGACTTCCAGCATTAAGTCTAACCAGACTATAACATCTTGGTTTTCTCTTGGGAGTTACTTCTGGGAAAAATAAGTTGGTTTTTTGTGTCAGATCTGATTTCCTTCACAGCTGCCTCCATGTGCAAGGAGCAGGTGATGGTGTAAGGTACCTCAGTTCTTTAAGTTCACAGCTGATATGGTCATCATGGCTTGGAAGAGCTCAAGACTGTGTTTTCTGCTTCTATAGGAATGGTCATAGATTCTCTTCTTGAGTCAATTAGGTTTCCAAATCAATTAGGAAATGCAGTGTTGGTATTCTGCCAACAGAATCATCCATAGGACTGTTGTCTAGGGCTGAAGTGATTGTGGGTGCTTTTATTTAACTTCATGGCTCCTGGTTTGCTTGGGAGGGTTTGGGGACTCTTGTAGTATCAAAAGAAATGAAGAGCACAGCATAAGGCTTGACTGAACTAACTTGAATGGGAATTTGGAACAATTTACATTTCCAAGGCTTGTAATATGTGATAGTCGTTAATCACGTTAGCAAGCCGGCCCTCTCTCAGTGCTGACATGATTTACAGTATTGGTATTAAGCTTTGCACTATACCAAAGGTAAAGGTGATTTAACAGCTTCTAGTTGGGATGTTTCTTCTGATTATACAAAAAATATTTCATACTCTGACAGACTAGGGTGAATCATATTTATCATTAGAAAAATCTTCTCTAAGAAAGAGGAGACCAATAGTACCAGGAAAAAAGGAACCTGGCAAAAGAGTAAAACTGAAAATAGGACATGAACCAAGACTCAAAGGAAATAATGTTAATTTAGACATTGATGTAAATCACTATATCCAAATCCAGGTTTCTTATCCATAAACCATATTGGTGCTCAGAGCAAGATTAAAGGAGTCTAATAATGGGATTACCCGTTTAGCAAGCTGTTTTTCAATATTAAATTGCTCTTCCCTTTCTCTTCACTTCTGCTGAAGGTAAAATGTAAAAAGGTTGAACATTTTCATTTATGAAGAGCTAAATTACCGTAGATTACTGTTAAGGTCTGATATCAGGCCAAGATTCATTTTTTACTTGATGTCTAGTGTTTAAGAACAGGAGATGTCTGATGGAGTACCCACTCTTTCTTGAGTGCCTGCCAAATCTTGTATGTCAGCATTCCCTCTGATCTTTTAATGGGGGTTAAAAGGAGAAAACCAAGGTTTTTATTACAAGTGGAAAGTAGTTTGCAGTAGAGATTGTTTTCTTTTAGTTATTATAATGATGGTAGTGTATCAAATACTATTTTATTTTTATAGGACCATTTTTTTCCTCTTTGTTTTTTTCTTTAACTCTGAAATATGGCAGAAAACAGGGAGTGGGGGAACTGCTCAGAATTTTTGTTGGTTGGATAATGAAATGCTTTAAAAATATTCTTTGAAGTTTACAGATGAATGTTGGACTGAGCTTCACAGTTGTTTTGTGACACCAGGAAAGGCAGCAACTTGGCACCTTTTTTAAATGCCTTTGTTAGCACTGGGAATGTGTTGTCTGGTATCTGCACCCACAGTGGTCACAGGAGCTTTTTGACTCCTTCAGTGAAATGTGCTGGGAAGGAGCCAGTTTAATGTATTGCAAATCTCTGTGGCTTTTCCCTCTTTGTGTTCTGTTATGGCAATGTCCTGAGCAAATTAACAGAGCGTAGATGTACTTACTGAAAATTTATGCTGTTTCTATACTACTTAATTGAGACTATAATCCCCTCAAGGATTTAGCATCCTTTTTTATCTAATAATACTATTTTATGTTCTGTTACGTTCTACTTCTGAGTAATATTACTGTTTCATCTGAAATAGATTCTTCAGGTTTGGGTGGTTTTGGTTGGGTTCCCCCCCTACCAGCTAATTATGGGCATTCAGATCCATCTTCCATTGTACAATCCTGTCTGTCTTCACCTTTCTTTATAGCTGTCTTAGCTGTAGCATTAACAGTGCTACCAGGAAAAAGAAAAGCAGGCTGCAACCCTGCAGTTCTTCCTGAATTTCTGTGGAAATTCGGAATCTCTCTCTGATCAAATGACCTGAAATCTAAGAGAGCTGAAGCTGCTTCTTCAAGTGTATTTTTCTTTGGAATATAATCACTATGCTTTTTTATTTCAAAATCCACCCTTTTGGGCAGAAACACGGGTTTTTTAAGACTACCATTAAATAGTGGATGACAGTTCACTGTTGGAAAACTCACAGCATCAGAATTTATGCAGAGTATGTCAAACAGCAGCTGTTGTCAAAATAGCAATTGAAACACAAATTCCATGTTTAACTGCAGGAAAATAATTTAATCTCCAGTAGGTGGGTGAATGATGAGGTCATCCATGCAGATTTCTTCCACAATTTTTTCTTTTTTTTCCTTTTCTCTTTTCAGATGAGGTAGGGGAAAAAAGAATAACCTGGAGGTGGCTGTGTTTCCTATAATGGCACGCATGCATTCCTTGTTCTTGTCCACTTGGCCTGAGAATAAGCACAGCAGCTTTCTGAGAATTTTGCAAGCCTGTTGCTGTTGCCTGTTGATCACTACTAACACTGTAGAAAATAATTCCGATTATGACAGCTTTAAGCAGTTCAAACTATCCTTTGCATAAAATCTGTGTGCTTTAGAGGACTGTACTCTTCATAAGGAGCCTCCTTGAAAATTAACTGGTAGGGTCTATTAATCCTACTCATGGCTTCAACGAACCTTGTCAGTTCATGGGGTTTTAATACCCATAAGCTAAAATAATTCTGCCTAGATCTCATTACTCTACTTACTCCAATAAACATGCACCGTAACTTGTAATACAAAAGAGTATAGAGTGTTGTGGCTGCTGCATGATTTCAAGGAGGAGAGGATGACCAGAAGTAGGAAGCAAACACACTGAATAAAACCTTGGAAATACCTGTGGGGGGCAGCAGTGGCTCAAGTCATTCAGAAATGGGGCCATAATTCCCTGAAGGACTACCTTTGTTTCTAATTAGGGAAAGCCTAATTAAAAAAAAAAAAAAAAAAAAAAGGAATAGCAGAAGGAAGAGCAGAGCAACACTGAGATGTTTTGGCTTTTGGGAAACCTTGTCTTTTCTCTTGGACTCCCTGGCTGCTGTTGTGTGCTGGTTGAGCAGGCGGGACTTGGGTACCTTCTGCATTTGCCTCCAAGAAGCCACTGGAATAGCTGCTGTGGTGTCCTTCCTGCAGCTCTGGTGAAGACTGAGTGATTTTATTTTCCACAGCAGCTGAACTGCTTGCATCTGTTCTGTTGTCACTAAGCTTGTACATCTCCCTTTGTTGGTCGATGCCTAGACAAGAGTAATTTGTGTGGATGGAGAAAAAGACAGAAGCTGTATTAAGTGTGCAGATGATGTCATGTGGGTCAAACCCCCGCAGAAAGAAGTGTCAGAGATGTAATGTTGATTTTATATGCCATAGTTGGGGTGGGGGTTTTGGATGCAATTCTCATTGCACGAAGTTGGGAGGAGGAGATGCCTAATTTTTAATACGAGCAGTTTACAACCATTCACAGTTAAACAGTTTATAGGATTCTTGGTAACAAAAGGTGGTCTAATTATAGAGGAAAGGAAAACAATATAGTGAGGATATTTACAATGTGTGACCTATGTGAATTATGATCTTGTTAACTATGCAAAAATGACAAAAACCAGAACCATCCCCATGAATGAAATGTTTAGCCTTTCTTTAATGAACTTTTAATATAGAAGATATGGAGGAGGCTAATTTTTTCCCCTTTAACATCAAAAGAAATGTGCACTTTGAGTGAACCTGTACTTTCTTAAAATTCAGTGCACTAGACTTCAAACTGGAAAAAAATTGACAATATTTTTTCTTTACAACTAGCCCACACTAGAGTGTTTAGTTTCTGCCAGTAAATCACATGCCAGGGTTTCTACTGCCCTCTTAAATCAACTGAAGGTGTGATTCCTTTCCCTGTGATTTTTGTTTAACTTCCCTTTTGTAGTTGATCTTAATTGTTCTTATTTGCAGGCTTTAAATGTTGATGGACTGTGTCATTTATAACCCTTTTTCATTGCACAATGACCTTCATAGGGAAATTTCATACATGTTTTCATTGGGCTTTGGTGACATTTTTGTTTTATGTATGTAAGTGAAACTGGCAATAAAAATTAGTACGCAGAGGTCTTCTGATTAAAGAAATGTTATAAAAATCTGGTTACACTATAGATAGAAACATTTCAAAATGTTTTGCAAACCTACACTGAAACTGTGCAAGCACAGATTGCCAAATGTAAATGCCCTAGTGAATGAAATTTTGTGTTTCTCTCCTGGACAAAAGCAATCAACTGTGAATTTTGTCCCAGACTAATACTTCACATAGTCTCAGTTGCAGTATTTCTACCCTTTTCACCTTCATATTGCTGTTTTTAGTTGGATCAGTTGTGCCCTGTACAAACTGAGGTGCAAAGAAACCTCGTGTCCCCCATTAGTGTGTCATCCTGTGAAGACAGATGAATTTCACCCCAAGATGTCTTGTTTCTGTGTTGAAGCTGTTCCTGAACCTAACAAGGCATCAGGGCTGGGAAGAGGTGATGGAGAAAGGAGTTTGCTACAGTGCAGTGATAGTAGTGTGTAAAAAAGTTCAGGCAGATTTAGTTGGGCTCAGCTCAAGCTGAGCAGCAGCCTGCCCAAATCAGCATGACCAGGGCACAGGGGGCAGAAATGTAGAACCAAGTAAATTAGATTTAACCCCCAGGGTACTTCTTGACCACCTTGATGCTGCCGACTCTAAGAGTAAAATAGATTTGGAAGTCCAGAACCAATGGTTTGTTCTAAGTATTTCCAGTAGGAGGTCAAAAAGACCACTAAAGTTGTTGTAAAGTTGATCTGCCCTTTCTGAAAGGACAGGAGATGGGTAAGCATGACAGCCCATCAGGTTATTTGGCCCTGTCCACTTCGTGCAATTTTTGAATCCCAGACTTTGGGGCATATAAGGCAGATCACATGAAAGCTCCAGCACTTGGACTAGGGCGTTTTAACTAGTGCAAATTTGCCTTTCTTGCTGAGGGTTGATAACATCAGCAACTCATCTCTGGGAACAAGATGATCCTCTTCCCCTCTTGGAAAGATGCAGCTCAAGAGCTTGGAGTTAGAAAAACATGAACTAATTTGGGTTTAGCTAATTTATGGCTGTACAAGAACAGAATTTTCTCATCTTAGTTATTCTTTGCTGTACTTCTGAAAAGCCTGTTCCAACCTTTTCTCCCTGTTTTGGCCAGGATGACATTAACTGTCTCTTAATATTCTCTCATTTTTCTTGTTTTTTTGTTTTTTAGGAAGGAAGGCATATCACATCTTTTCTCACTCCTTTTCATCTTTTCTTCTTCCACTTCCAACTTTTAAATACATTGACTGGTTTCAACTAACCCAAATTCAGAGCAGAAATATCAGTTACATTGTTCTCTTATGTTGCATTTTAAATTTTAAATTAATAGGAAAAAGAGGGATTTTTTTAGCTTAAAGTGTTCAGAAATAACCTTGAGCTTTGTGTTTGTATATTCCTCATGGATGCTGTTAGAAAACAGAACGAGCAGTGGCTTTTAGGTATCTGCTCCAAATGGAATCCTGACCAGCCTCTCTTTGAAGAGGTTCTATGCACTGCCTGAGAATAAATCAGATTGTAAACATTGTGATTTTGATGCTGGGCTTCCAGTGTAAGTACCATTGGTAGCAGAAGTCTAGTACAAAAAAAGCAGAAATAGACTATATAGGCTGTACATTCTAAGTGTTTACATCCCACTACTGCTCATGTACTAAACAGAATAATTTCTGACAGTAATTTGGAAAAAAGTATCCAAATTGATAAAGCTGTCTTTGGTGGTGTGTGAGCTAAGTGGTGACAAAGCTGCATTGTTTTCTCTTGGGGTACAATTGGCGTCAGTAGTTCTAAAAGAGAACTTTGGGGTTTTTTAGGTAGCAAAACAGTGTTTCAGTGCCCCTTACTGCAGTATGACACACAGAATTAGTATATTTTTACTGCATTAATAAATAGAGCTTTATCCTTCTCTGTCTGTTGGCTTTAAACCTTAATCAGAAGGTATCCTTTAGAGGTAAAGGGGAAATTTGGGATTTGGATGCTGCTGATGGTGAAACTGGCTTTGCATTTCCTGTTGAATATCTCCAGATTTATCTGTTCCAAAGGAAAAAAAGCAAGCCAGTTGTCTGCCACAGAGCAGGTTAGAGGGCAGTATGAGGAAACTCCATTTGATCTCTCAACTCCCCCATCTTCTCTATTCAGTATCTCTGCTGTGTCCTGCTGTTCTCCCTTTTTCCGAGGGAAAGTGTGAGCATCTTATATGTGAAAAAACTGTGCTCTGAAGATACAGCCAGTAGTGCCAAGAGTTGTATAAAGTGGAGCCAACATATTTGTCTCCCAACAGCAATTTCTTGTATAATATGCTTTCCATCCATCCTCTCATAAATTCAGAGTGTTTTGAATGTCATAGTTATCATTTGAAGCAGGGCAAATGCAAGAAGTTTAGAATGGGCAGATTAGGATTGAACCATGGTTTTCTAACTTCCAGGAATCATGTCTCACTGGATGATCTTTTTCTTATCTTCCTTGTACTCTTGTACTCTCTTTCATGTTGATATCTTTGTTTTGCAGTCTACTGAGAGAAGGTAGCGATGAGGATTACATCATATGGATTATAAAAGACCATTTAATTTCAGCCAGGAGAATTTACTCTCTACGTGCTGTTGTTTCCACACTCAGGAGAGCAATTTCATTGACCAGACATGGAAATAGCCATTGTTCTGTGTTCTAAACAAACTTACCTAGACCACAAGGCTGAATTTTGTTTGACAGTAGCTAAAACAATAAAAGTTCACACTATAAAAATTAATTTGTTAGAAGGCTTTGAAGTATCTCTGCTGAACTAACTTAAAGCCTCAGTGCTGGCAAACAATTGCTCATCAGTAGGTCTGGCCAGAAAAATCCTGTGAAGGAATGTAATAAATGATCAAAATTAAGTGTTTTA